AGGCCCGCCGCCTCTCACTACCCTCTGGGTTCGCCGTCGAATCAAACTTACGCTGCGGACATGTATTTACATACAGATGTACACATAAGTATATGCACGCACGCATACATATATATATATATATATATACACCATATATGCTTGCCCCCTCCCCCCCCAAAAAAAAACATGATCATGCATATTATCCCCTCCCTCATCTGCTCCCTGCTCTCCGTCGCACTTCCTCATCCTCTTATCCTCCTTTAGCGGGGTGCGTTGGGGCCTGTCCCGTCAGCTGCTCCTCTCCTTGGGCGGCAAGGACAAAACGATCAAGCGATCGACGTAACATTTTCTCTCGCGTGTAAGCTTGCTTTCAGTCACTGCCTTGATGAGCGTGCCATCCATCAATCCATCAGCGGGGCAGTGCAACCTCGGGCTGAGGGCGGCGGCGGGGCACTGCAACCTCGGGCTGAGGGCAGCGCGTTTTTTAGTATTCTCTCGCGCTGGATCCCCGTCCCTCTGTACCCTCACGAGGGGAATGATGATGAGGAGGAGAGGGATCAGGAGAGTGAAGACACAATAGTATGAGCGAAGAGGAAGAGGAGCTATATAAGACGAGTGCGATCCCGACGATGATGACGAGGATGATGATGATGACGATGATGAGGATGACGATGATGATGATGCGGATGATGACGATGACGATGATGATGATGAGCAGGACTGCAGAGGATGAGGAACTGAACGCGCTGAGAAAAGGATCCTTTTTGCACGGGCTCCCAATAGGAACCCATTGTGCACAGGCTCTCAACAGGAATCCTTTTGCACAGGCTCTCAATAGGAAGCCATTTGTATTGGGTTTCGATAGTATTCTGTATTAGCTTTCAATCGTAATCCTGTTAGCAGGGGCTCTCACTAGGAATCCTTGTGTAGAGGCTTTCAATAGGAATCGTTGCGAGGAGGCTCTCAATAGGAATCCTTTCGTAGAGGCTCTCAATGAGAATACTCTTGTGGAGGCTCTCAACAGGAATCATGTTGCCCCAGCTCCCAATAGTAATGCAATAGTCTTGTGTTTCAGTCGGGTTCATTTTTGCATTGGCTCTCACTTTTTTTTGTAGAGGCTCTCAATAGGAATCCTTTTGGAGAGGCTCTCAATAGGAATCGTTTTGTAGAGGCTCTCACTAGATTTTTTCGTTGTGGCTGTCAACATGAAAGGTTTTGCACAGGTTTTCAACAGGAAACCATGTGTATTGACTTCCAGTAGTAGTCATGTTGTATTGGCTTTCAATCGGAACCCTTTTTTGTAGAGGCTCTCAATAGGGATCGTGTTGTAAGGGCTTTCAAAAGGAATCCTTTTTCGTAGAGGCTCTGAATAGGAATCCTTTTTGTAGAGGCTCTCAATGGGATTTGTGTGTGGAGGCTCTCGACAGGAATCCTTTGCACAGGCTCTCAACAGGAATACATGCGCATTGGGTTTCAATGGGGATCCTTTTGCAAAAGGCTTTCAATCGGACCTTTTCGTCGAGGCTCTCAACAGGAAGCCTTTTGCACAGGCTCCCAAGAGAAATCCATCTGCATTGGGTTTCAATGAAGCATCCTTTTGTAGAGGCTTTCAGCAGGAATTCTTTTTATAGAGGCTCTCAATAGGAATCAGGTTGTAGAGGCTCTCAATAGGAAGCCATGTGCACTGCGTTACAATAGTAATCATTTTGTATTGGCTTTCAATAGGGATCCTTGTTGTAGAGGCTCTCGATCGGAATCCTTGTGTAACAAGCTTTCAAGCGGAATATTGTTGTAAAGGCTTTCGATCGGCATCCTTTTCGTAGAGGTTCTGAATAGGAATCGGTTTGTCGAGGCTCTCAACAGAAATCCTTTTGCGCAGGCTTTCAATAGGCATCCATATGTATTGGGTTTCAATGGGAGTCGTTTTGCATTGGCTTTGAATCGGAATCCCTTTTGTTGAGGCTCTCAATAGGAATCATGCTGTAGAGGCTTTCACTAGGAATCGTTTCGTAGAGGCTTTCAATAGGAATCCTTTTGTAGAGGCTCTCAATAGGAATCCTTTTGCAGAGGCTCTCACTAGGAATCCTTTTGTAGAGGCTCTCAATAGGAATCCTTGTGTGGAGGCTCTCACTAGGAATCCTTTTGTCGAGGCTCTCAATCGTAATCCTTTTGTAAAGGCTCTCAATAGGAATCATGCTGTAGAGCAGCGCGACATGAAAAAAAACAAAATAAACACAAGGAAATACAAACCAAACCAAAGACACCAAAGCCTTAAGACTGGAAAACTAAAAAGCCGTCTTGCAAGCCGTCTTGCCCGCTAAACGGTCGATGCCGACCACCCACCCGAAGGGCTTGCGCGATGAGACAGAACGCCGTTCAGAAAGTACAGCAAAACAGTAACTGCGACAGGAGGAGGACGAGGAGGAGGAGGAGGGGGAGGAGGGGGAGGAGGGGGAGGAGGGGGAGGAGGGAGAGGAGGGGGAGGAAGGGGGAGGGGGGGAGGAGGAGGGGGGGGGGGAGGAGCGAGGATGGGGAGGGGGGAGGCGGAGTGGGAGGAGGAGTCAGCGAAAATGCTTGAGATAACCAAAAAAAACAAAAACAAAAAAAAAAAACAAAAAACAAAAACTATGATTTCGGGAGAACTTCTGGGGAGGGGGGGGGGCAAGGTTCTCCCGAAATCATTGTTTTTGTTTTTCTTGTTGGTTTGGTGTCTTTTTTGTTTTTTTGTTTTTTTTATTTTGTCCAATGAGGTCCGCTGTTTTTCGCAATGCCGATCATTTCTCGAAGGTCTTCGAAGGCGTTCGAAGAGGAGGGGGAGGAGGAGGAGGAGGAGGAGGAGGAGGAGGAGGAGGAGGAGGAGCGACGACGAGCAAGAAGAAAACGAAGAAGAACATGTATGATCATGTGGGGGGGTACCATATATATACATACATACATACATGACTGCATTGGCGCTTCGCGCCATGCACCTTGGTCCTTGAAGTTTGGTGTGCAGGCGGAATAGCAGGAAGTCAAGCCGACAGTTTAGCGATAACTCCTTGTTGCCTTTTCTGGCATCGCCGCTATAATAATGCTATTCGTTATCTGCTGCGCATCCTCCCATCCTCCGCAGCTCTTTTTTGCGGAAGCTCCTCCTTGGAGAGCCTCTGGGGGCCTCACAAAAGTTGTTTCAGGCTTTCTTAAGGCCTTCTGGAGGCCTCCTGGGTGTATTCTGGGGGCCTCTGGGGACCTCCTCGGGCCACCCTGCCTCCAACCGCGGTCTCCCTGAACGACCGGGTCACGATTTGGAATGCTTCGGAAGGTGTCTTGGGGCCATCTTGGGCCTCCATGGGGCTCTCTGAGGGCCATCTTGGACCCGTGTTGTGCCGTTTTGGGGCTCTCTTGGACTGCCTGGAAGCCCTTTCGGATGGTTGTGGGGCGATTTGGGAGCCTCCCAGGCGGCTTCGGACGCCCAGAAGACCGCCGTCTTGGAGCGTCGGGAAGCCGAAAAGAGGAGAACCCCCAAATTCACAAAAAAATCCGCCGACCCCTTGGGGATCATCGGCGTGTGAGATGCTTCCCCCTCCCCAAACCCCTCCCCCGAGGAGCCCGGTCCGGTCGATTTGGAGGGGGGGGGGGGTCCGGGACGAGCGCAGCACGGCCGGGACGAGCGCAGCACGGCCGGGACGAGCGGTTCACGGGGCTTTTCCGGGCCCAAGAGGGCCTCAAGACGGGCCAAGAAGCCCCCAAGAGGCCTCCAAGACGGCCCACGAAGGCCCCGAGACGCCAAACGACCGCTCCAAGACGCCCAAGATGGCCCCAAGACGGGCCAAGAGGTCTCCAAGACGGCCCCCGAGGTCCCAAACAAGCCTCCCAAGAGGACCCCAAGAGTCTAAAATTGTTGATTTTCCATAGTGTTTTTCTATGTTTTTTGCTTTTCCGCCTTTTCGGCTTCCCGACGCTCCAAGACGGCCAAAGAGGCCCCCAAGAAAGCCCCAAGATGGCCCAAGAGGCCCCCAAGACGGCCTCCAGACGGCCCAAGACGGCCCCAACACGGCCCAAGAGGTCCCCAAGACGGCCCAAGAGGGCTCCAAGACGGCACCAAGAGGGGCCCAAGAGGGCGACCAAACATGTTGAAACTCTAGCTTTCTGCCCCCAGGAGCCCCAGGGGGCCCCAAGAGTGCCCCAAGAGGCCCCCAGAGGCCCTCACGAGGCCGCCCAGACGCCCCAAGGAACCCCCAAGAAGCACCCCAGAGGCTCCGAAACGGCCCCCAAGTGGCTCCAAAACTCGCTTTTCACCCCTTCGCAGCTTCTACTACCCCCAGATTGGCATAAACAAGGGGTCGGCGGTGTGGCGTAAGCCTAAGAATCAATAGAAAATCAATGATTTCTAACTCTTGGGGCCTTCTTGGGAATGCTCTTGGAAGCCTCTTTGTGACCGTCCTGGAGGCCTCTTGGGCCATCTGGAGGTCACGTTGGTCACTCTTGGAGCGCTCTTGTGCTGTCTTGGGGGTCTCTGGGACGTCTCCGACCCCCCTGACCGCCTTAGGTGTGCTGGGAAGGCTTGGCAAAACGCCCTGCGAGGCCTGGGGGGGGGGCACTTCGAGGCCCGTCCAGCAGGTCCGAAAGCCCCAGATCCCGGGAGTCCGGTTTTTTTTTGGGGGGGGACCCCTTTCGCGTTCCGCCCGGACTGTAAAAATATATAAAAGGAAATACGTCGGCACCCTCCGACGAACTTTGCATGTACCTTCTGGGTGGGCGGCGGTGTAGAAAATCGCTGGCTCTCAGTGGTGATTCGTACGCCAGCCCTCTCCCCTGAGACCCAGGAACGATCCATCGGAGGGTGTCTTGATGGGCCTGTTTTCCACCACCACCATAAGTTGGAGGGGGAGGAGGAGGAGGAGGACGAAGAGGAGGAGGAGGAGGAGGAGGTGGTGGAGGAGGACGAGGACGAGGAGGAGGACGACCCCCTCACCCTCCAACTTATGGTGGTGGTGGTGGTGGAAAAGGGGCCCATCATGTCTTTGTACGCACTTTGCCGCGGAACACTCGCCCACCAAGCTTTCTGCCAGCGTCTGCGTGAGGGCCCGCCCCAGCCCGGGCGGCGGCGGCGCAGCCATCTGCACGACACGCCCACGGCGCGCGTTCGCGGCGCCTGCAGCGAGCGCGCGGCCGTCCGCCGCGCGTTCGCGGCCCTGCGCCGAGCACGGCGACGGGGAGAAGAGGAAGGAGGAGTAGGGGGAGAAGAGGAAGGAGGAGGAGGAGGAGGAGGAGGAGAAATGGAAGGAGGAGGAGGAGGAAGGAGGAATGGAATGGAATGGAATGGAATGGAATGGAATGGAATGGAATGGCATGGAATGGAATGGAACGGAATGCCATGGAATGGAAGAACGACGAGCAGTCGAAAGCCCGCTCGCACAAAGCACAAGGGGCATCACTCCCACTGGGCCTCGTCCTTCGGCTGCTCGGAGCGCTTGGGGGCGGCCGCGGCGGTCCACTCTGCAAGACCGCCAGACTCGAGACCGAACCTGGCGAGGGGCCAGGATCGACTGCCGCGGTCTTGTTCCTGGCAAACACAGTATCGACTAGCTGGCAGAGGTCCCAAGGGGAAGGGATCTGCAAAGTTCCGACCGTACACCCCTCGTACTGGCTGGGCAAGGAGGAGGGTGAGGAGGAGGAGGAAAGGGAGGAAGAGAAGGAGCATGGGAGGGGCGGCGGGGGCAAGGGGGCAGGGGACCCGGGCATCCAACGCATTGAACAAATCTGCCGACCCTGTCGGCGCGTGTGAGAGGCTTTTGCGTTCGACATCCCGCTGTTCCGTTCTCTGCGAGGCGCACGAGCGCCTCAAAGGCTAATCCGATGAATTCCCACCCTCATCGTCAGCAAATCCAGCAAACAAAAATCGAGCAACGTCTTTATCGAGTCGAAGGGAAGCCCCTTTCCTTAGATACCTCCCCCGTCGGGGGAAGAATGGGCCCAGGGGGTTGCCCAGTGGGGTCCCGGGGGGGTCCCAGTGGGGGTCCTGCGGATTGTGGCTCCCCCCTGGGGGGAACACCCTTCTCTCGGAAAAAACTGTCCTGGTTGATTTCTCCCCTTTGACGCTTTTCCGTCTGAGTCGTCTGAGTCGTCGTCGTCGTCGTCGTCCCCGATCTCCTCCTTGCCCCTCCCATCCTCATCCTCCTCATACTCTTCAAGCTCCTACTCTTCCTCCTCCTCCCCCTCCTCTGCTGCTGCTGCTGCTGCTGCTACTACTACTACTACTACTACTACTACTACTACTACTACTA